AGAAGCATTTCTGAGTGGTGCCTACCTAGGGGGTGAGCTGTTTGTCCACTTAAAGAAGTTGCCTGGACTCTGGTCACTGCTGTTAGACATTCCAAAACCTATCAAGTGGCTAAAAGGAGAAAGCACCTGTCCATTTCCTGTGATCGCAAAGCTGCTCAGTCTGTCCTGTGGGTCCCAAGCCAGAGGCCGGTGCTGTGAGGCTTTCATCCTCCTGACCTCAGCACCCCCGGCACGCTGCGCTCTCACAGGTGACAGGATACAGGTGGCCGCCGTGCGAGCGTTCGGCGAACGCAGGTGGAGCAGCTTCCCTGCATGCGGCGGGCCAGCCGGTCACTTAGTGACCTATTTGCTCGATGACCTGAGTGAGTGCACTACGGAAAGCTTTTCCAAGAAGTTGTTGTTGCTTATATCCCAAGCCAAAGCAGGTGGGTTTTGTCATATTATTTTTAAAGTTAAAAGCCCTTCTTTACTTATTTAAGCAATTTATTTATTAATGCATACAGAACTGGGGGTGCGGGGCAGTGAGGGGAGGTGCGGGGCAGTGAGGGGACTCCTCAGAGACAGAGTGGGCAGCAGAACAGGCAGTTGATGAAGTCCACTGCTGAGGGGAACAGCGGGGAGACAGGAGAGGCCTGCCGCCCCTGTGGGTCCCTCCCTGCCCCGGGATCGAACTCACACTGAAGCGGCTGCAGTCAGCCTGCAGTGCTGCGTCCTAACCCGTTGCGCCATCAGGGAGGGGCCATACTTGTAATTCTTTAATAGTAAAGTCTATTCAAAATAAAATCAATCAGCTGTTCGATTTTCATTAGTGATGGGGATTTTGTGTGGCGGGTGTTACCCTTGTAGGATAATTATGACTTCGCTTTATTATAAAGTATTTATAATGCTATAAGTGAATCGTAAGCATATTTATATGTAGTTTAAAAACAATACCATGCCACAAGAGCATATGGTGAAAAGAATATCTTTCCCGACTTCAGTCGCTTCCTGAAGACAGCCGCTCCTCGGCCTGCAGTGTGTCCTCCAGAATCTGGAATCCGCGCTTCTCAGTGGCTGTTTACTCTGAACTTCCTGGGAAGCCGGGGCGTCCCACTGGACAAGAGGCCTTAGCGTCGCCGGCCTTCCCGCTGGTCGCCTCTCAGGGTCACGGCTGCGCAGGCCTTAGGAGCCTGTGGCCAGGGCTGCAGAAACAGGGGGCCGCATGGCCTGCTGGGCACCCTCGGCCTGCCCTTCACTCCACAGTGACCGTGATAAAAAGAAATAATTAAAAGAAGAAGAAAAACTGAACTGACCTCATTTTTTTTGGCTGGGCAGACTTTTGTGTGCCTCTCGGCCCAGACTGGCCCTTACCCCTGTGGTCACCCTGTGTCCTCAGGCACCGGGTCTGCCCCTGCCCTCCGCAGCCTCGCGCTGCATGCATGGCTGACTCACCTGAGGCCCCACCCTGGCCCTGCCCTCACTGAGGGGAAGGGAAGGGGCCGGTCACCCCAACTCGGGGTCTCAGGGCGTGTGCTTGGCTTCCTTTTCCTCACCCTAAATTTCCTTATAGCTGAAGTACCCACGAGTCCAACTGACACAGACCCCTGCGAGCCTGTGATTTAAACAGCCCTGGTGGCCCCTGAGGCCAAAGGGCTGGGAAGGCCGCGAGCCACAGTGAGTATGAACTCAGTGGACAGACAGGCCGGAAAAAGACTTTTGACGGAGCTGAGAGTCTCAGAAGTGCGAACGGCAAGGCATCTGCAGCGGCCGGGTCCGGCGCCCCGAGGCCAGCCGACTGGTCAGGAGTTTGACTCTGGGTGCAGCGGGTGTTTTGATTTTGTTTTATTTTTCACATTTTGGAAACTCAGAGACCTACTAAAAGGCAAATGACGGCACAAGCTCCGGGCGAAGGAGCGGCCGGCCCCCCGCCCCCCCGGTGCCAAGCCAGCGAGGTCCCTCGCCCCGGGTCGGCCCAGGCCAGGCATGTCGCCCACCTGCGGGGCGCTCGAGAGTCCTGCGAGGGTCCGGCTCCCAGAACATGGCCGGCGCTTCGCTTTTGAAAAACGGTTCAGGGCGGAGGAGGGGTCCAGCCCGACTGGCGCAAGGCGGGGGGGTTTGGGGGGGGCAGGCGCGGCGGATCACTGGGACACCGGCCGGGCCTTGGGGGCAGCTGCGCGTGGGCCTGGCGGCCCCCGCAAAGGCGCTGGACAGGCGTCCGCTTTTAAGCTGTGTCAGTCATCTGCCGGTTGAGGATTTGCTGGGGAGGGGCTGGGTTCCTTGGTTTTAAAATTGACTTAATCACGAACAGAAAAATACTTTGAATTTCCTTCCTCCGAAAACACGTGTTCTTCTCTTCTGTTGAAGTTTAACTCAAGTTTAAAAAATATCTAAACTAGGAGTAAGAAGGTTATTTTTATGTGAAGAGTGTTTACTTTACCATACTTAAGGAATGTCTTTGTATATTCGGGAATCCGTGGAGTTTTAAAGAAACTTAAGATTTTAGAAATGTCTCCGCACCTACTTTACTACCTGACGTTGCTGCAGTGCTGACCTGAGAGTCGGGAGGGAAAAGCCGACAGAGTAGTAAAACTTGCTGTAGGGTAGCGGCCGTGAGTGAATTTTTCCTTTTTCTGTTTTCTAAAATTTCTGTAATATGTTTGTTACTTTTATTCATAAACTATTTATAGCCCCCCCTCCTCCAAATTAGCTTTTAAAAAAGATTGGGCATTTAAAAGGCTGCGATTCTCAGTTATTTCATAGTATGTAATGCGGAGGGTTTTGTTTTACAGTAATGGTTTAAATGTAGTAAGACAAGGTTTCTTAACAGTGGAAATTTTCTTTTCTTTTTTTTTTTAAAGATTTATTTATTTATTCATATAGAGCTGGGGTACAGACCAGAAATGTGGAGGGTGAGAGGATTCACCAAAGACAGAGAGGGGAGCAGAACAGGCCGACTGATGAAGCACACTGCTGAGGGGAGCAGCGGGCGGGTCAGGAGAGGTCTGCCGCGCCATGTGGATCTCCTCCGGGGCAGGCGGGAATCGAACTCATGCGGGAGTGGCTTAAGCTTCTCAGTGCTATGCTTTTACCCGGGAGGGCCCGGAAATTTTCTTTTTAATGCAGCTAATAAAAGGCTAGTCAAAGCAAAAAGAGAAGTATTTTATGTAGGAAAGTGATGTGAAAATTGTTAGTACCAGTGATAATATAAGAGGAACTTGGTGGTGTTGATTTTATTTCTTTATTTATTTTTACACCATTGTTCATTTTAAAAGTGTTTGCTTTCCCCCTCCCCCTTCTGAGTTCCTCCCCCACCTCAGCGGTCACCATCATCGGTCACCGTCACCTGTGTTCCTCCCACCTCCTCCTGGCCCCTCCCCTCTCCCACCTGAGGGCGTCTCCTCTGGTTGATAATTGTCTGTCTGTTTTTTTTTGTCTTGTATTGTTATTATTTCCCCTGTATCTCATTTGGTTCCCCTATACTCCTCCTATAAGTGAGACCATCGATGTTTTTCTTTCTTGTTCTGACTTATTCCACTGAGCATAATTCCTTCTGGCACCACCTATGTTGCTGCAAATGGCACAAGTTTATCTTTTTTGCTTGCTGTATAGTATTCCGTTGTGTATATAGACCACACCTTCTTGAGCCAGTCATTTATTTTTGGACATTTGGGTTGTCTCCAGGTTTTACCCATTGTAACTAGCGCTGCAGTAAGCACAGGGGTGCACGTGTCCTTTTGGAGTTAATGTGTGTGTGTCCTTTGGGTAGGTCCCCAGGAGTGGAATTATTGGGTCATATGGTGGCTCCATTCTCAGTGGTCTGAGGATCCCCACCCAGCTGTCCATAGTGGCTGGGCCCGTCTGCACCCCACCGGCAGGGCAGGAAAGTTCCTTTTCACCACATCCTTGCCAACAGCTGTTGCAAGTGTTTTTGACATGTAAAAGGTAACTTCTCCAAAGAGGAAATGCACATGGCCAACAGGCGTAGAAAGCATGTCCACAGTCCCTTATAATCAGGGAAATGTAAACCAAAACCATAACAAGATACCTGCTAACGCCATAAGGTGGTTGTTTTCAGTATTGTTTTCTGCTTCAGAGATAGCAGGGATTTTTCATATTTGCCGCTGGCATTGGCTTCTCAAGTCAGTTGGTGCTTTTAACAGACTGGCGCTTCGGGACCATACGCTCGCAGCTCCACCCAAGTGTCCTCGCCCTTCCTCCTCCCTCTGACACACTCCTAGTTCTCCAGTTTTGGCTTAGATAAAATTATTCGGCTTATTTATAACTGGAGAACTTTGACATCACCCACCTACCCGCCCCCACCTTCATCCCAGCCAGCTCAACTCCTGTTTCTTCTTCTCAGGCCCTCCCCTGGTCTCAGCGCTCACCATGGCTGTAGGTAGCAGTTCGGTGTTTGCCTTCTCCACTCCTCAAGTTTGGCGAGGCGAGACTGAGCTTCTTGATAGGAAGCTGTATGCACAGCGGGTACTCAGTGACAGTCAAGAAAAACGGACTATTTGACATAGCAAATGACCGCATTGAAGTACTCGTTTGCTTTGCTTTTCTAAATTCTAGTTGGCATTGCTCGCTGAGGTTCTGTCTGTTAGGGAAGAGCAGTGCGGCCCCAGTTTCACAGGGGTACGCACCTGAAGCCAGCAGCCGTGAGCCCAGGTTGTGACAGTGACATTGGCATGAGTTTCAGCTCAGGGTCGCAGAGCTGCTCTCCTACTTTGTCCACGTTTTCTGACACTTTATTTTTATAGCCATCAGTTTTTGCTTTCCCAGTTCTTACCTATCGAGCCCAAGATGAGTAGCTTCGTAGATGGCTTGACAACATGATCACGGCTCCAAGCACTATTTCGATGGAGTAGTTCATCTTCTCAAGTTTTCTGCTGAAACTACGTTTTATGTAACTGCAGCAGACACTGGTAGAAAAGATCGTTTTTTCTCCTAATGGGGAGAGGTTTCATTGACTTTGGCAGTGGCTTTTCTACTCACTACCTGTGTGCTGGTTTCTTTTACAGTTCAAGCGTTATGTCAGTAAACTCCGAAGCAAGAGCACAGTGTTCAAAAAGAAGCACCAGATAATAGCTGAATTTAAAGCTGAATTTGGCCTGCTGCAGAGGACAGAAGAACTTCTCAAGCAACGGCATGAAAATATTCAACAGCAACTGGTACTTACATCTCTGGGTGTTAAAAACATGAATGCCTGGAGGCTTATGCGTTACAGCGTTGCATTGAGGGCAGTGTTGGTATTGGGAAGTCAAAAAGTTTCTCATTTTCTTTGATTAATTACGAGAGATCATCCAAACGGATGTTAGTGACCGTCAGCACTGACTTATTGAGGTGTGCTGACCTTGGGCCATGTGATGAATAGACCTTGAATTCCAAGTGGGTTTTTCGCTTGCTTAGCTGGTTGGTGTGTGAATGACCGCGTTGCCAGGAGTGTCGACGGGACGTGTATTTCTCCTGGCCTGGCCCTTGGGCAAGACCTCTGGGCCGCGTCCAGAGCCTGGAGCAGAAAGGCTGGGGCTGCGCTGCACGCGGCTCAGCCCCTGTGTGCGCACCGTCTCGCTGGCAGTCATGCCCAGAGCGGTCCGTGCACCAGCAGGGCGAGGGGCTCGGCGGACGCCACAACCCCTGCGTTTCCCTGGTCTCGCTGAGTTTGACGCCCACCTGTGGGGGAGCTGCTCCAGCAGGTGCTACAATACACATGCTCAGCCGGCATTAGGGCGCTTCCGTGTTGTGCTGGCAGATACTTTGCTTGTAGAAACTTATGATGGGAGATCTAACTGTTTCCCGTACCAGGAGGAAACGGCCTTTCGCTGGGCGTGCAGCAGCTGCTCTACAGTTCGCTTCCGAGTGTCTTCTGACCTCTTGTGACTTCTTGGGCCTCCTGGTTATTGCTTCCGGCCACTGAGGGGTTTTCGATGCCTTCCGGTCGTTTACTTCTAGCTTATTCCCTGCCTGGAGAACATGCGTGGTTCCAGTCCTCTGAAAGCGTTGAGTGTTGCGTTTCCGCCTGGCCCGTGATTGGTTTTGGCCGTTGTTCACATGCAGCTGGAAAGCTTCTCTGGTGCTGTTTTTCGGGCTGGTTCTAGATTTCAGTCAAGCATAATATTCAAACCTTCCACTGGTGAGGGGAGAGGTGTGCCCATCGGGAAGGGGAGAGGTGTGCCCACCGGTGACGGGAGAGGTGCGTCAGAATCTCTAGCCAAGACTGTTTCTTTCCCTGTTTTTCCTTCTAGCTCGTCAGTTCTTACTTCACATTCTTCCTTAAGTCCCCTAGAGCCAGAGCTGGCTTGTGGCAGGAGAGAGCGTCTTCAGAAGGGCAGCGAGGGGGACAGACGGGGCAGCATGAGGCAGCCCGGCCCAGGACCCGGTCCCCAGGGGCTGCACTCCCCAAGTCACTGCTGCCCCCTGGGGAGGCGCGCCCCCTTGGCCCGAGGGCGATCCTGGGAATGGGGGAGGCCGGCTGCCTGCACCCCCACGGCGCTGCTCAGGGCCATCCTCGGCTCACTGCCCGCGCGGCTGGTCGGAGAGTGGCCGGAAGCCTGGCGAGGGACTGTACAGTGCAAGTCAAGCCCACCGCTGCCCTGGCCCAGGACAGCCCACTGCGCTCCCTGCCGCCCGTCCAGATGTCCCGCACGCTGGGCGGGTGCTTCCCCGGCCCGCCGGCCCCCCAGCCGAGCCCGTCTTTGGGAAGCTGGGCGCTAGTACCGCAACTGCATGAACAGGCCTTTTGCAGCAGTGACGCCGGTGGGTGCAGAGGGTGCAGCGGAGGCGGGGAGAAAAGCGGTGATGGAGCCAAAGCCAGCGTCGGCAGGCCGCAAGGGCCGGGCTGGGCCAGGGCGGGCCCTGCCATGCCGCTCCGGCTCCGAGGTGGTGGACAGGCGCCCTGCGGTGTCGCGGCTGCCTGCTCGCGTTCCTCGGAAAGGGACTCGGACTCGGGGCCAGGGTCTGCGGCCAGCACCTCCCTCATCCGTGCACCTGTGTGAATTTGGCCCATAACGGAGTCCTGACCGCGTGTCCCCCGCCATGCCGCTGCTGCAGGAAGTGGCCCCTGGCCCGCGGACACGCTGCCCGGGCTGTCGCCAGCAGGGTGGTGCTCTGAGGCCCGGGCCGAGAAGCAGCTCACTGCCCCAAATCCCGGGGTGCGGCGCTGCACCTCACAGGGCTGATGGGACCTACTGCGAGCTGCCAGCCGCTGGCTGGCTCGTGGGCTTCGGCGAGGCGGGGGGCTTCCGAACGGGCTCAGGCCCTGTCCACTGCTGCCAGAGGGGCAGCACCGGTGGGGAGGGGCGAGGTGTGAGAGGGAGGCAGGGGCGGCGCTCGGCTTAGTCGCCTCTACCTGTGCGCTGTCGGGAACCTGTCTCTGGCTAGGGTGGCTGGGGGGAGCGGCCGGCACCTTTCACGTGGCCATGAGCACCTGCCACCCCCCACCCGACCCCCGCCCGGCCCCGCTCTTCTACGTCGCTGCCCTGCTTCTCCCAGGGCCTTAGCGCGCTGGGCCAGACACCCTGCCGGAGGGCGCAGGCTGACTGGGGTTCCAGGCTCTCGGGGCGATGCCGACCCGCCCCCGCACCGGGCCCTCAGACAGAGCCTTTGCCTGGGCTGTGTGTGAAGCCTTCTCTGAGCACGAAGCGCAGCCTGCGTCTCGGCCTCGCCACCCGTCCCCACAGGACGCGGGTTTCTTGGCGGCGCCTAAGGGGCTTCTGCGACCTTGTTCCTTCTTCCTTGGGAGAGCTTCATTCCTCCGCACATCTCCTTGACCCAGGTGACAGAGCCGGTATGTCTCCGGCTCTCTTCCCGAGAGGCAGCCGCGGCAGGCGGAGGCCCGGCAGAAGCTCCCACCGTCGCGGCCGTGGCCTCCGTCACAGCCCTGGCTCTTGGGAGCCACCCAGGCGGCCTCACTGGGCACCTGCCTGGCCCCCACTTGGCCGGGGCCTGCACCCCCGCCTGAAGTCCCTGCTGGCCCCTGAGCCCCGCGGCCGTCCCACGCAGGCTGTGCTAGTGGCCTCGCCGAGGGTGGGCAGCGCCAGAGTGGCCAGGGGCCGGCGGGGGCCAACTCTGCCTGCCGCTGCCCCTTGCGGCCTCAGTGCAAATGGGGGCCAGGCTGGCCTTCTTCCCTTTTCTCTCAGAGCTTTGGCTTCTCCTCTGGGCGCTTCTGTCCTGTGGGGTTCATGCCAGCGCCCCTCGCTGGTCGCAGCGGCTCCCGGTGGCAAGGCCCAGCCTGGCGGCTGGCAGCACTGGGCTGGGAGAGGACGCCTGGGCCGTGCCATCTCCCCCACGGTCTCCTGCCCTTCTCCTTGGTTCGCTCATTTCTTCGGGCCCCAGGGCTCCCTGCCCCGTCTCCAGGGGCCCTGCCTTGCTCGTGCTTTAAAGGCCCCAGCTCGCATGCAGTCGGGACCTACGGGGCTGGCGAGGTCAGGAGCTGTGCGCGTGGCTGGATGCCCAGACCGAGTCCGCAGGCCACTCGCGCACTCCTTGGCCCCCCGTGTTGGCCACGCAGACTGACGATGCTTCACCACAGACGAGCCCACTGCTGGGAGCAAGGCTGGGTTTCCAGGAAGGAGCGCCCAGCACAGCCAGGGGCCGGTCAGGGCCAGGTGACTCCCAGGAGGCAGCCCCGATCCACAGAGTGTGGCTCCGCCCAGAGGGCGGGACGGGCCGGCCCTGCCCCCACCCCCCAGTGCCCCTTGCGTGGGCGGAGAGCTCTGCCACACCAGGCCGGAGAGGCCACCAAAGCGCGCTTTGGCCCATCACGTGTCCCTTACTGCGCCAGCCGCTTGTAAACGTGCACAGCAAGGCTGCAGTTGCCTGGATTCCGACCCTGCAGCGCGCCCTGGTCATCCATCTAGGCGACACGTCCAGAGCTGCACTGTGACCCCACTGCTCCCTCAGACCTGGCCTGAGCCCTAAACCCAGGCCGGGTCTTCTCTCCGGGCAGAGGCCTCCCTGCCCTCTCAGGTCCTCAGGCCAGCGTCTGGGTGGCATCTCCGTCTCGGCTCCCGCTAGCCCGGCTGGTGTGCGCTCCCGCCCGAGGGCTGCGGGGCTCTGCCTCCTCCGGCCCCACTTTGTCCTTCTAGTTTGATTCAGCACAGATGTGACCATTTCACAGTCCTATTCTTGGGGCCTCGCTGCTGGGCAGGGGTGTGAAGCACAGCACTGTGAAGCTGTGGGCGGCCCCTGCAGCCCAGTCCATCCCGCACCAGGGAGGGACCCCAGGGCGCAGTGGACCCCTCCTGTCCCCCGCGACCCCCTCAGCAGTGGGTGTCAGGGGACCCCGCCTGTTCTGCTCCCCACTGTCTCTGGGGCGTCCTCTTGCCCCCAACACCTCTGGTCTACACCCCAGTTGTACACAAAAGTAAATAAAATCTTTCAAAATAAATACAAATAAAAATCCAGGCCTCGCCCTCCAGTAAGCCTATTTCATTTAAAATAGTCCAAGCTCTTCCATTGGCCTAAAAATAAGGTGATGATATAACTCCTTATCTAAACCAGGACACTGTGAATGCAGGGGCAGCAGACGCAGCTGAGGCAGCAGGCCAGCTGCAGCCTGGGGGGCAGCCTGGGGACCCCCCCCCGCCCTGCTCACGCTGTGCACCTGCTGTGTCCGAGCTCCCACCTCCAGGGGTCAGCTGGCGGCGTCATGTGGAATCCTCTACTCCCTGCTGTTTAAGGTCAACCCGCTCTCACCCCACCGTATGCGTGAGCTCCCCCTGAGAAGCTCTCTGAGGGCGGGACCCATCCTGCATTGTCACTGCTGCGTGTCTGGGCACCAGGACCGCTCGGCACATGTGGGCATCGTAGACCGCAGAGGCGTGAGCGCGCGAGCAGGCTGCCCCGCGCTGGAGTCCGCGCACGCTGCGGCCGGAGCCTGCCCGCCGCCCGAGCTGGTGTGTCCCAGCGGCTGCCGCTGCCACAGTAACCCCTGGCCCGAGGTTAGGACTCAGAGGCGCACGGCTCCTGCCCAGGGAGGCAGCCCCGAGGGCTCTGAACTGGCTACTTTGCCTCCAGCTGTGCTCTGTGCTAGGTCACACTCGGGGAAACATCACGGTTCTCTCCCCTTTTTGTGGCTCCCACTTTTGACACCTGTTTTTGTTCTTTGAAAGCAAACTACTGAGGAGAAGAGGGGAGTGTCTGGATATAGCTACACGCAAGAAGAGCTGGAGAGAGTGTCTGCGCTGAAGAGCGAAGTGGACGAGATGAAAGGCCGGACCCTGGACGACATGTCCGAAATGGTGATCTCCTCCCTTCAGTTTCTCTTGTAGAAAGGCGAATGCCTCTGTGTTTTCAGAGTGTGGGATGTCACTCCTTCTGCACTGACGTGTGCGTTGCCCTGGGTACTTGCTCACTGGAAGACGGTTGCAGCTGCACACAGGTGCCGTCTGGCTTGTCATTCAGTGTTCGGTTTGAGTATTTTCTCCTGACGGTTTGCAGCTGTAATCATGTTTTGAGTAGCCACACGGCATCCGTCTTACCGAGGAATCAAGATTTCCTGAACCCCTGGCCCGGTGTTTAGCAGTAATGTGTTCATTCTTTTTTGCTCCCATATAGGACACTTTGGTCTGTATCTTCACGCATGTGGTATTTTTGTGATTCGAATTTTTATGTCGTCTATGTTTTTGAGTGGCAGGTGAAAAAGCTGAATTCACTGGTGGCTGAGAAGAAGTCAGCGCTGGCCCCAGTTATAAAAGACCTGCGACAGTTGCGGCAGAAATGTCAAGTGAGTAGACCTGATTTTGTGAAACTTCTAGCTTTCTCTGTTGTTCAGACATGTAGTTAGAATATTGTATTCGGGTAATTTACAGGAAATAAGACCTCGCCAGTATGGCGATAGAAGGTGCCAGAGAAAGGACCCGCGTGACCTACCAGGCCTCTGCTCTGTTCCCCGCTGCTTATTGGCCAGGAGCTAGCGAGCGAGAGGCAGCGCTGCCGGCCCAGACGGGCGTCGGCGCCGCCGCCGGAGCGCAGTCCCGGTGGAGCCGGGTCCGTGCTGTCTCCCTCAGAGCCCCGCCGCCCCCGTCCTCGAACAGGGCATCCTGCCGCGCCGGCAGCTCTCTGTCCTCGGCTTAGAGCCGGCGCCTGTGCGGGCACTGCTCGCCGAGGCCTCGCGCCGGAGCCCACGCGGCTGCTGCTGCAAGTCAGCCACTCTGCGGCTGATGCGTTTCTGGCTGGGGTCGACCCGGCGCTGCTCCGCGGTGCGGGCCGGAGCGGGACTCGCCGTCGCGCGGCCGTTCGCCTTGTGGGACGCGGCAGCGCCGGGACGCGGCAGGAGGAGTCCGCGCGTGTTTCCTGGCCATGGGTGTTCCAGTGGCGAGATGAGTGGCCGCCTGCGTGGGGCCCTCTCCTGGCTCCAGTTGCCGAGCCTCCTCCCACCCTGGGCCGCCGCCCCTGCCCGCTGCTGCCTATAGATTTGCCTGCTTGGCGTGCTCTGACCCCCCACCCGGGGCTCCCTCTGCCGGCCCCTTCCGGGTGCGGCACCCCTGCGGCCCTGCCGGCCCGGCTCCCCACTCCTGCGGCAGGCGCCCTGGGCCCTGCGCGTGGGCCGTGACTGCTGCGATGGCAGGGGCTCAGAAGCTGCCCCCAGGGAGCTCCCCTGCACCTGGCGGGTTCCCGCAAGCAGCCCGGCCAGCAGCCCCCGCGGGTGAGCCTCGTGGCTGAGCGCACTGCCTTGTGCCTCCGCAGGGCTCACGGTGCGCCCACACCCCGGCCCGGTGCGCCCACACCCCGGCCCACGTCCCCTCGAGGCTGCCCGGCCGGTGTGCTGCAGGGAGGCCGAGCCCCAGAGGAGCCCAGCTGTTTGCTGACGACTCCATCCTGGGAGAGTCGATTTTCCGCTGCCCACCGCGTGTTCCCACGCGCCTAGGCTGGCCTGGAACTCCCGTGCTGTAGAGCTCCCTGGGAGGAGGGGCTGCCGGAGGGTACCTGCTCTCCCCACAGTGAGGGCCAGCAGCTGACCGCCTCCTCCGCCCACTGCGGCTGCGGCTTCACCTCACCTGAGTGGTTGCGCCTTTCTGCCTCTCTGTGACGAAGTTTGGACCACCGGGGGTTCCGTTTTCTAGTTGTTTCTTTCATTTCTGGAGCTGCCTCATCTCGCATATCTGGTACCCACCTAACGACGACTTCCCCGCAGTGTCTGTTTATTCACTGTATAGACGGGTCCCGGTCGGTGGGTGAACACCAGGTAGATGTCTGTCTTTGCGCCTCATACTCAAGCCCAGGGATGTTCGTGAACCTGCCAGAGACCCTCCCTTTGGGCGTCTCACTGGTGTCTGGATCCCGCCTGCCCTGCGGCACCCGGCGCCCCTCTTGCCGCCCTCCGCACCCCGCTATAGCCTGGCGGCCGGCCATGGGCCGTCAGACGCGCCCATTCCCGGGCATCGCTGTTCACCGTGGCGACTGCCCAGACCGGGGAGGGGTTACGGGCCTGCGGCGTGTACTCAGCCGCAGGAGAAGGTGCCGCGGCCGTCTCAGGCCGCCTCCGGGCAGCGGGGTTGTTCCCGTCACTCGGCTCCTGCAGCAGTGCACAGCGACCATGTCCCCTGCAGGCCCGGGGTGGCGCTTCTGGCGCTGTGAGCGACCCCGGTGGTCGCTTGCCCCCCCCACCCCCCCGCCACCGCCCCTGCACGTTTGTGGACCGGGCTGTCCGTTTGCAGGCCTTGGACTGAGCAGGGCTCTGTTAGCTGAGGTCCCGCGGGCGCGCTCTCTTCTGCCACTTGCTTTGTGTCACCCTTCTGGTCCCCCATAGTGATTGCTTGTTTCTCTCTTGTTCCTACTCCCGGCTGTGAGCTACATCCGGGTTTTGTCTTTAGGCGCCTGGCAGCAGGGCTGCAGGGTGGCTCTGGCAGGCATTAGGATTCGAGTCGGTGTCTCAGCCCGGGAGTTCTTAGGCCCGGCAGGGAGAGCAGACCTGCGCCAGCCCCCGCCCTTGCTGAGGGCAGGCGCCCCGCCACCCCCCTCTGCAGCACCCCAGCAGCATTCACTTCCCAGCCCGCCCGTCAGGTTCAGGAACAGGAGGGCTTCGTGTGCAGAGCGGAAGCCCCCAAGGGCTGGGCTGCCCCCCACTCCTCCGTCTCGGTGCTCATGCAGGAGCGCCTTCAGCCCCCTCAGTCCCTTAGATACGCAGATCCTCTCCACCAAGTTAGGTGCTGCCCAGACCCTCCCGTTTGGGTAACCGCCTCTCCCGGGCAGACCTGCGCTGGGCGCCACGGACTTACTGAGGCTGGCCAAGCCCAGTGTGAGCCCAGTGTGGGCCCAACCCTCAGGTTCCCAGGCTGAAAAACAGCTTGGGGGGATGGGGTCCCCACTCGCCCCTCCGCCCAGGCGTCCTCTGCCTCTGGACGCTGGCCTCTGCCTGCGGCAGGCTGGCTCTCCGCTCCCGGAGGCTCCTGTTTCTGGCCTGATTCCTGTGCTCCCAGAGCGCAGCTCAGCTGGGTCTCAAGGGGTGTCTGCTTTACCTTTCCAGGCATGTGTAGGCACTTTTAGCATTTCTAGGCTTTATAGCAGATTTTCAAACGGCCTAAGTTATCAACTGTGACATTGGAGGAAAGTTTGAAACTACTCGCACAGCTGGAGACCAAACGCTGATGTCTTTCAGCACTGTGATCCCCGGGGCTGGTCCTCATCAGCGCCTGTCTGTGGCGGCTCCCCAGAGCCCGATGGTTGTGTGAGTAAGTCAGCTACGCTGAGGAGCTCAGCGTCGCCACTCCGGCCAGCTTCTCCCTCTCACTCACGCGCCCTGTCCTACCAGGAGCTGACCCAGGAGTGCAGCGAGAAGAAGTCCCAGTACGACAGCTGTGCCGCAGGCCTCGAGAGCAACCGCTCCAAGCTGGAGCAGGTAAGGGCCCGGCCTGGCCTGCAGGCCCTGTACCGGATGACCTGTGCCTGGGGTTGCTCCAGCCGGAGCCTCACTCTGCAGCTTTGATGTGCGTCAGAGGCCCTGCGGCCCTGCGCGGGCACACAAGGCCGCTCCCTCGGCCCAGGGCGCGTGCTTGAGTGGGGCCAGTGAGACCGCCGCCCGCCACCCTCCTCTGCTCCCTGCTGTGCTCTGCAGCCAGTTGTTCTGTCTCAGCCACTGGGCCCGGCCACAGGCCACGCCTGTTCTCACCTTGCGTGTGGGGCTCGCACGTGCCGCCTTCTCCCCTGCCTCTGCGGTCTCAGCCCAGATATCCCCTCCTCACGGAGGCCTTGCCTCCTCAGCCCTGCGCTGCGCAGCATGGGGCGCCCTCCTGTGCTGCCTCCTCCCTGGAGGGCAGCGGACCTGCCTGGTGGGCCACCGTGCTGGCCAGCACCAGGCGCAGTGCTGGGCCCATGGGCCAGAGCCAGTGAGCGGTGCCCCGCCGGGGGCTGCAGTGAGCGTCTGCCCGGGAGGCCTTGACTCAGCCGGTGGCAGCAAATGGCGGCGCAGCCGACCAAGAGGATCTGGCCGGAGACACTGGCGCTGCGCCTCAGAGCCGTGTCGACCTCCGGCGCCAGCGTCGCCCACCGCGTGCTCTATACCTCAGGAGGTCAGAGGGCTCCGCGATGAGTGTCTTCAGGAAGAGAGCAGATACCACTACACGAACTGCATGATTAAGGTGAGTCTCGCCAGCGAGTCAGGAAATGTCTGCGCCTGTCCGTGTGAGAGTGCGAGCTGACACCCAGTCCCCCACTCAGGGCCTACGAGTGCAGCTCCGGCGAGCAGCCGACGAGATGAGGGCCTACGTCTCGTCTGACCAGCAGGAGAAGAGGAAGGCCGTGAGGCAAGTGGGTTTCACCTGTGGAGTCTTGGCGCCGGGCGGGGTTGTGCCAGTTGGGTGTTCACCTGAGCGTGACTGAGGCGTCTCCCGGGAGTGTGTCTCGTCAAACACTCGCGAGTGGTAGGTACAGTGCTGAGAGGTAAAAGGATCTGGTGTCATTCCTTGCCGAGTTGTATTTTCGGTGGCCGCAAAGACGCCGCTCTGTGTTGCCATCTTGGCCGTTTCGCGGGTGCGAGGCAGCTGCTCACCCTGGAAAGCAATGTGGAACCGTTGGCGTGGCTCCCCCCAAGGCCACACACCACCTCCATGTTGCTTTCTTGTAAGCAACAACATGACCGATTGTGAAGCCCGCATGACCTAGACGCCGTCACCGGCTCCCCCTCAGCTCGTGGCTACGGCCTCCAGAGCCAGCGGGCTCGTCCCAGCCTGCCCCAGCCCGTCCCGGCTGTCCCAGCTGGCTCACGGCCCCGGGAGTGAGATGCCGCCCCGGGAGCCGCGCAGGACAAGCCACCTCCGCCCTCCCCACAGCCGGGGCTCCGCTCTCACCACGGCAGGGTGCCGTGTGGGGTCCCGTCAAGCAGGGTTACCACCCACTCTGCGGTCGTTTCTCCTCATGAGGCCATGGCACTAGGAAACGGGGCGTCTGTGAGACCCACAGGGCGCCCGGGACTGCGGGCCGATTACAGGTGCACGAAGGGAGGATGTTTTCCCCAATGCTCACCTGTCGGTGCCATGTATTCAGTTTCTTCCACTGCGTGGAAAGTGTGTCCACACGGGTAATGTGGGTAATGTGGCTTCCACAAAGCTGCAGAGTTAATTTTGTTCTTGAAAAGCAAGGAGTCTCTCGACTTCCCTTGTCAGCTTTCTAGTCAGTCTCTTCAACTTTAAGAAACCCTCCTGACCCTTTCCTCCCTTGTGGTTTCTCTGTAGAAGGAGAGTCCCTAACTGGTAGAAGGAGAGTCCCTAACTGGCCCAGGGCATGGGGCAGATGTTCTGACGGAAACGGAGCTGTGCCACTCCAAACTCACGGATGAAACGTCAGAATGTTGTTGTCACAGACAATGTGTTTTCTTTACTCCGTTTCTGCTTTCAGGGCATTTTCTGGTCAGGCCAAACGTCTTGAGAAATCGGTTGGTTTTGAAACAGCCTCACAAGCTGAACGTCACGGCGGCAGCATGTTTTATTTCAGGGTACTAGAATGGCCTCAGACTTTGTTTCTAACCTGCGTTTTCCAGGCTGTAGCTTTGTGACGCAGGGCGCAGAGCTCCCTCACCTTAAAATAAGGAGAAGCACCCATCGCTCGGGAGCCGGGCTGAGCGCACGATGACCGCAGCAGTGCGCTGGCGGATGCGCGGTTGGGCCGTGAAGGGCCTCTCTGCTGCCAAGTCCGCAGCGTGTGGGATGTGCCACTGGCGCTCATGGCACTGCCCGCGTAGATGCATGGGACAAAGCAAAAGCCAGGGTGTTGCATGAGAAAAGAACACGAGCCTGCTGATTTCTTGAGGAAATAGAACTATGGGAATTCTGAAACAACTCAGGCCTGTCTCGTGCCTGGGCAGTAAATGAATTATTCAGCGCTACCAGAACCGCACCCATAGATTCCTCGTGAACAGTCTGCCATTTCACCCCCTCACTGTTCTCACTGGAGCGCCACGCGGCAAGCAGTCTGACGCAGAGACGTGAGCTTTGAGGGTTCCTTTCCTTGGCCACTCACTCCCGGCACCGGCCCGGCTGGCGTAGCCCTGTGGGGACTCTGGCGATCGCTCTCACTGGCGGTCTGTCTGCTCCCGAGCTCCCTCTGTGAATGCAAAGCCTCACCACTTCCTGCGCTCTTTATGGCTTCTTGACGGTCCTCATTTTGTGTTACTCAGTTTCTCCTCAAGCTTCTCACTGGAGCTTCACCCGGAAACACAGCCCGTCTCCACCCACGTTTGTGTTCTGAAGTCCCGCTTGCTCTCTCTGCTGTCTGTTCCTGCGTCCTCATCCTTCAGTCTGCCTGACACAATAAGTCTTACTTTTGTCTTTTATACTGCGACAGTACATGTGTTTCTTTTGCTTAGAAATGCAATGTAATGTTATCTGTATTTTTTACATTAAAATATGCAGATTATTTTAGTTGATAAGAGAAATTTTTGTAAAAACAAAAAGTAACCACTAGGAAGTGGTGTCCACCACGCCAAGCCCGGAAGATGGCTCCCGTTGGTTGCTTGTCGGCGTTATCATCCCATGCTCTTCCCCACGCGTTTGTGAATTTGTCTTGGTGTTGGTGAGTTAGCAAGCGCATGGGACAGTTTTATATGTGTGTACACAAAAGTAAGATTAAGCTACATACGGTTTTCCTCTTACTAGCTTTTCTGGAATGCTTTCCGCTGCATGGCTAGACCGCCTGCTTCCTCTTCTGTATCGCTCCTCTTACTCCTGTGAGTGGCCTCCCATCACCTCTTCTGAGGGGATGTTCCGTCCGTCACCCGCTTGCTCTCTTCCCCGTCTAGTCACAGCCGCCGGGTTGCAGACATTCACGGCTCTAAGCGTTTTACCTTGACTGTTTGCAGCGTCTTGTGTGGGGCGACTTCCTCGAAATGGATTTGCAGGGCTAGAATTTATTAATGTTTGCTGAAGATGTGTATCTTTTCTCCTTTCTGCAAACCTCTTCAAAAACAAAGTAATTTATGCAAATGGGTCTGCATTGTTTTTTGTCATTGTTTTAAGGGTAGATTAACCAGAAATAGTACTTAACATTTTGAGTTTTCTTAACTTCTTATGTAATGTTTTGCCTTTTTTCCCTCTTAAATTACTATTTACCAGAACTGACTAAAGATGGGGGAGGAGCATTTTGATAATGAGTTTTACTCTGACTCTAGTACTCTGAACTATATTGTGTAGTGTATTGAGATAGATATGTTAACCTAGTTTATATAACTTAGTTTCTAATCAAATCAATTAAAGTAAATCGAAACTAATTCATTTTATTGATTCCACAGGGAACAGTATACCAAAAATATTGCTGAACAGGAAAACCTTGGAAAGGTGAGAATGTATTATCGAGTTGTTTGGAATGTGTTTAATTCAGATTTTCATTATGTGGCTATGGCAATGTCTTTCTTTTTACTTATTTTTTTTTTAAGTTTGTGTTTTAATTTATGGATGTATACAGAACTGGGGTACAGACCAGAAGTGGGGGGGCGTGAGAGGATTCCCCAGGAACAGAGTGGGGAGCAGGACAGGTGGATGGACAGAGTACCCTGCTGAGGGGGCAGCAGGAGAGAGGAGGGGCTGCCGCGCCCCGGGGGGGGGCCACCTCCGGGGTGGGGACCAATTGGTGGGAAGCGGCCAGCTTGGCTGAGCTTCGCAGCACAGCGCTCCAACCCGCCGTGCCACCAGGGAGGCCCAGTCACTGTCTCTGAAGCTTGCTCTTTGCTTCTCCCTCATTTTTTTTCTTTGCATTTATTATGCTGCATTTCCATTACGCTGTGTTGTTGGGAGACAGAAAACCAGTAGTTGTTGGTGCTCACGGGTACTCCGGCACCCATGGGTGGCCCTTGGTGCCATACAGCATGTTCTGCCCGTGAAGGCTTTGCACAGGGGCCTGCCTAGAGGCTCGGCCAAGAAGTCTGCCTTGGCAGCTGGGAGGCGCCTTTCTTGCCAGGAGGGATCTGTTGGCCCTTACCCCCGGCCCAGGTACCCGCAGGTTGCCGGCGGCATTCTCAGCGCCGCTGCCTCCGCCTTTGGCCCTGGAATCACCTCACAGGAGCGCTTTCCCCACCCACGTGTGCCCACTGGAAGGGACAGCTCATTCAACGTGCTTGACGTGTTTCGTTCGACTGCGATCCCTGTTTCTGTCAACGCTCAGATTCCCCATCTCTGGCCACAGAAACCTTTTGAAGTTTCCTCCAACCCCTTAGAAACAGTCTGCCAGGCTTGTGCGCTGTGACAGGTTTGCAGGTTCACGTGGCACGCTTCCATCCCAAGCCTGTCAGTCATTTCTCTCAGAAGTGCTTATCCGTTCTCGATGCGTGATGTGCCCCAGTATTCTAGCTATTGAGTACAAAATACAGGGAGCCGTCTGACAACCGGCACCTCCGTTTTTATCCGTGAAACCCGAGTTCTGTGCGCCGTACTCTCAGGAAGGAGCCGCATGCCACACTCGCAAGTAAAAAGTGAAACAATGCTGCGAGTGTGTATTTGGTCAGGCGTCAGCATTCACTGCGACATGTTTCAGCTGGGGGGGCCGTGACTGCGGTGGCTGGTCTGCATCCGGCTCTTGGGTTCGTGTTTCTTCCCACGTGACGGCGTGCCTCCTCGTCTTTTGTTCTACAAACGGATGGATGCTGTGTGTACAGAAATCCTTCTCAAACCTTGAAGTCGTACAAAGACCCTTTGCCAATCAGAACATGTCAAGCACGCGAAATGAGTTGTCCCCTTGGGTGGGCAGACACAGAGTGGGGAGGAAGAAGCGTTCTTGCCAGCTCTTGCTGAGATGGGGTGAGTGTGTCCCCGCAGGACCGGGGACAGTCACCCGCGCATTCGAGCCTTGGCTGGCGCAGGCCACTGTCGGGCATCAGGTGGGGCTGCGTCCAGACGAGCTCCCTGTCCTGAGGCTCCCTCCGCCTCCGAGCAGACCTCAGCTTCCCCGCAGCCCAAAGTGCCTTTCAGAGCCATGACAGCCGTGCCTCCCTGCCAGACCCTGGGTGGGTTTCTGAAGTCAGAGGTGGGGCCCGGGGGGGAGGGTGGGGGCGTTGCGCTGGCATCTCCACCCGAGCTGTGCTCACCGCCAACCCCTTTGCAGAAGAGGAAATCAGCAACAGGGATGTTTCGTACGGGCAGCTATCAACAAGCTATATCTGTGGCGACAGTAGCTCTGAGACATGCTCCCGATATACTATGAAGTTAAAGGTTTCAAACACACAAGCTCGTAGTGGATTAACCTCAGCGTCTCTGCACAGCGCCCACCCCCTGCCTTTGGGCCTGGAAATACATTTACAGTTGTCAGGATTTTGGACAAAGAAATAGTTTCAATAGAAGAAAAGTTCCAGTTTGAGTAGTACCTTCGTCTTCAGATTGTTTTGTTTTAGATTATGAGGATAAAGAGACTTGCTATGAGATACTTTGCTCGTACTACAGACTTAAATTTGCACACCAGGTTGTCTGGCGTAAATGTGCTGACTGTATTTAAAGTACATTTTATTCAGTCTGCTTTGTGTCCCAGTAAGAGGCTTAAATTCTCGGAATTGTGCTGTCAGGGAGTAGACAGTGCTGGCGGTGGGATGTGCTCTTGGGCTCTTAAGACTCAGTGCGGCTTAACAGTGTGCTGAGAAAAGTGAGGAGTGCAGGGTGCAGTCTGACTGACTTGTGCTTAACAGCCCCGTCACGTCAGTCTGCTGATTCGGAGAAGACTTTAACAGCACGTGTACATGAGTTTACCAATATTTCTGCAGTGTATCCTGTGAAGAAAATAACCTTATCAAGCAGGTACTTTCGTGATTTCCCCTATTATCTGTCAGAGAGTAAAGAAAGTACCCTTTTCTCAGCTAGTGGCACAGCCGAGCGTGACGCTGGTCTCCCGACCTCGCTGTCCGCACTGCTTCTGCGTGACTCTGCCTTTCTGTGTTCTTGGTTCTCCGCCCCCCCTTATATTTTCCTGTTCTTTTCAAGTCCGGGTCGTCCTGCCTCTGGCATAAACCGAGGTAATGTTTGTTACTCTGAGCCGTTGCGCCACAGGAGGACTGTGGCTGGCTGCCCACCGTCCGGCCGCCGGGCCTGTGTCCTGTGGCAGCGTGGCCTGTGGCCTGTGTCCTGTGGCAGCGTCAGCAAACCCCAACGCCGAAATGTAATGACGCTTGTTGTTTCTGACAGAAACTGCAGGAGAAGCAAAAAGCTGTTCGAGAAAGCCATGGCCCGAACATGAAGCAAGTCAAGATGTGGCGCGACTTCGAGCAGCTGATGGCGTGTAAGAGAGAGTGCTTCCTGCAGCAGCGGGGCCAGACGCCTGCTGGCCAGGTAATTCAGGAGGGCGGCGAGGACCGGCTGGTCCTGTGAGCCCGCCCTGCGGCCGCCTGGGCAGTGACTGTGGCGCACCGCTCTCAGGGTGGCGTGGCGTCGGCGTGCTCAGGGGAGGTGGGCAAGGCAGTCAGTCCCGCAGGCTTCTTAAAAGGAGAGCAAGGCCTGCCTCGCTGGCCTCGCGTAGACACCAGTGCTATGCTCTGAGTTTCGGGGCGGGAGACTAGCTTTGCTCTTCGTGAGTGCAGACATGCAAGTCTGAAGAAATGTGTCGTTTAAAACAATGTAGTAACCCAGTAGCTTAATGTTTTCCTAATCTTTTTTTGACTTTAGAGGAGGCTTTTAGGAACTAGTGTCTCTTGTTTTGAAGAAACGTTTATCTGAAGTTCAGCAATTCCTACGGTTTCACTTCAGTTTCTTTTTCTTCTGTAAAGTTCAAGAAATTTTAATTACATGAATAACATATATCTGTTCGTTTGCAAATGTAAAGGCAAATAAAAGTTGGTGTGTGTATAATGGCTGCTTATTTTAAAATTCTATTGTGTCAAAATATGTTCTTTTTGCGTAAGTATTCCTGTTACAGTAGTGCAGTAATAAGGGTTATAACTCATTTTCTCCAAAACCTAATATAATGTTTGGGTCTGGGAGGTGTTTATTTTAAAAATGAGAGATTGTCATGGACTGTAGACGTTATCCTGTACACAAGGTCCCAAGCGAAACCGAGGTTCCAGAGCGAGATTCCAGAGTCCAGAGTGCTTCCAGCCCCTGCTTCACTGAACAAAGTGCCTGAGGCCCTTTGACTTTTCTCTAGAGAAAGATGCTGACTTAAGATGCCACGCTTTATTTCATTTCAATTTCAGTGCATTTTCCCAAAATATCTCACCTTCAATTTGAAAACTCAGATTCCCAGCTTAGAGTCCTTTTTAACTCTCCTGAAAATATGGGAACTAAAAGCAGCACATTCTGGACACAGAGTGTTGCTCCCAGGTCACATGCACACACTTGACTGTACCTTTCGGCTTCTCTGTTCCCAAGTATGTCCTCCCCTTAATTTTTGATTGAAAGTGCTGTTGAGACCATTGTTAACCCTGGAAGCGCCGCGGGAGGACATGGCCCGCGGGCCAGCAGGACCCGGACTTACCAGGAAGGTGTGGGGAAGGCTCTCGTGTTTAAAGCAATTGACTTACTCATCTGTGAGTATAGGTTGTTGTTGTCCTTTTTTCTTTGCGACATGTGCTGTCTCCTCAGGGCAGTCCTCACAGAATTCCACCGCCGCAGCGCCATGCTCGTCCACCCTTGCGTTAATCTCGCCCCTGCCTCTGCAGAATGGCCCTGATTTACAGTCGGCTGTGTATTTTTGTCGTTGTGTTGTTGTTGTTATTATTTTTCCTTGCTCCCCCGTATTCCTCATAAGTGAAGCCTTCTGGTGTTTTTCTTTTCCTTCTGCCTTATTTCTCTGAGCGTGGTCCCTTCCAGCCCCGTCCATGTGGCTGCGCATGGCACGAGTTTAGCTTTTTGATGGCTGAGTCGTGTTCCGTTGTGTGTATAGGCCTTCTTGAGCCAGTCGTGTAGTTTTGGGTATGTGGGTTGACTCCTAGTCTTCCCTATTGTGAACAGAGCAGCAGTAAACACGGGGGTACAGGAGTCCTTTTGAATGAACATGTTTGTGTCCTTTGGGTGGACCCCTGGGAGTGGGGTCGCTGGCTCACCTGGGAGGTCCATTTTCAGTGTTTGAGGAACCAACTTCCCATGGCGCTGGGCCCAGCTGCGCTCCCATGCAGGAGAGTTCCTTTTCTCCAATTCCTCACCAACATTTGTTGTTGCTAATTCTTTTAAATCTGTGTGTGGGGTATCTCACTGTGGTTTTGACTTGCGTCTCCCTGGCTATGGGGATGTGGAACCTTCTTGCTACGCCGGAAAAATGTCGCTAAGGTCCGTCTGCCCATTTTTTCACTGGATTGTTTACTTTGTTTTCATCGATCGTGCGAGTTTTTATATCTTTGTGATCAGTCCCTTATCAGTTGTATGGAGTGCAAAAATTTTAGTTGGGTGTCTCTTCGTTTTGGTTAATACCTCTTTTGCTGTACAGAAGCTTAGAAGAAACTTCTCTTACATTTTAAGTGAAAGAAATACCCTGAAATTAGTAAGTGGCTTGAACCTGTCTCAGCTGACCTCAGCCTCTTGCTTGGGCAAGGGTCCACTACCAGCAGCCTCATCTGTGCCTTTAGTTCACCCTCCGAGCAATCATACACAAGAACAGGGTGTAGAAACAAACCTCCTGGGCCCTCGCTGGTGGTGCAGCGAGTTAAAGCGACCACTAAGAAGCTAAACTTTAGCACGAGTCTGATCCCCGCCCCGGAGCTGACCCACATGGTGCGGCAGACCCCTTCTGGCCCCCCGCTGTCTCCTCAGCAGTGGACTTTGTCAGTCGGCCTATCCTGCTCCCCACTCTGTCTCTGGGGAATCCTCTTGCCGCCTCTACACTTCTGGCTTATACCCCAGTTCTGTATGCATAAATAAATAAATCTTTTTTAAAAAAAAGAAAAAGAAACAAACCCCCAAATCAGTTCTGGAACATTGCAGTAGAAATATATTTGGTGTTGACTACTTGACATCTACGTGAGGTGTTATTCTTAAGCCAGTGGAAAGTGATGTTCCTTTAATCAGCATGTGAATTTCCTCGCAAATATCTGAAAAAGACTAGATGCCATCTAGAAGCAACATTTAATCCCCAAAGAAAAGCCAATTTGCAAGATTATTCAACAGCCTTGTGATTTTTTTTTTAGTTTTTACTATCTCCGGTGCTCTTAATTTTAAAAATTGTAAATGACAGATACTCCAAGGAATGCTTCTAATGCTGACTGAGTGCTGCTGGCCACCTTTGTCCCCTACAGAAAGTGTGTGGATTAAACACTAAGGCAGTTCCAAAATAACTATTCAGTGAAGCGGAACAGCATTGTTACTTTGAAAAAGCAAAATGGAAAAAGAAAAAAAAAACCTAAAAGTACAAAGTTATTTATAGTCTTATGTAACCCTGGACATTTAGGAGATTAGTGGGTTTGTGCAGTGACTTTTCACCCGTGCGTGGCTTGACTGGGACATTAACGAGCCTCACTGACTGACAGGTTTTGACAGCTGGCACTTGGAGAAGAAAAGCTTATTACATTTTCCCTTCGGATTGGCGCTCTTGCTGGCAGTTTGATGCGAGCACTTAATCATTTTAGAAAGTCATCTGTCTTCCGCATGATGGCCCAAATAAAGGAGAAGAATGTAGCCTGTGAAGTCTTCTGTGCTCGGATTTCCGCCTCCCAGGTCTGGGTGTTCCCCACGGTCCGGAGACTGACTGTAAACTCGGCTTCTGAGGCCCCACCAATCAGGAAGTGATCCCATCCCGCTCTAAAGCTGGCTTTCAGGGAGAGTCTCCCGGTAGGACAGTGTCTTTTCCTGTTACACATCCCCGAGCAATTGAACCCAAGATCGTGTGTTCCCAGGTCCAGAGAGTGTACCAGAAGGAGCTCAGAGCAGTGTTCAAACTCAGATGAAAATCAGACGAGATCTCAGAAAACTGCAGGACATTTCACTTTCTTCTCTCTCTATTTTTTTTTTTAAGATTTATGCATTTATGCACACAGAGCTGGGTACAGGTCGGAGGTGCAGGGCGGTGAGAGGACTCCCCAGAGACAGAGCAGCGAGCAGGACAGGCGGATCGATGAAATCCACTGCTGAGGGGAGCAGCCGGGAGACCGGAGAGGCCTGCCGCACCCTGGGGGTCATCTCTGGGCGGGGGTCAGACTCGCAGTGAGGTGCTGCATCTGCTCAGTGCTGCGTTTTCACCGGCTGCGCCACCAGGGAGGCCTCACTTTCTTCTTTGACACCTTTGAAATTAGGCCATTTTGCTGTGATTCCAGCAGCAGCAGTCGTAACAGAGGTCACAGAACAAGCAAGTAAATAAAATGTATATTCTAACCAGTGGATTTACATAACCTATTTAAATTTGGGGGAACATTTAACAAACCTTGTACATTTTCCAAGGATGTTGGTTTCTTAAGTATTTTGGCAACAGGATACGGAGCACTTTGGGTATTTCATTAAAATAAGAGCCGATGTGTTGTTCAAGCGGAAACATAAACTTGAATAGACTTGAAACACGCATTCGGGGACGTGTGGAAGCTGACTTTGCCCGAGCAGGGTTGGCTCTGTGGGGTGCCGCCGCTCATCCGCATGTCCGAGCTCCCTGCGTCCGGCCGTGGCCGTGCCTGGGCATGTGCACCCAAGATCTGCTCCGCAGAGGGCTCGGGGCTGACGCCCTCCCTCGGCTCGCTTGGCGCCAGGGGTCGGCCCTGCCTGTGGCCAGCTCTCGCTGGGCTTGGCCCTGTCACCAGCTGCCCCCTGCGCCGCGGACGGTGAGAGCTGAGGCAAGCGGGTCCTTCCTTCACGGCCCTGGGCAGCCAGCAGTGAGACAGTGGCGCTGCCATGAAATCCGTGCTAGCCCTAACCGCGGGAGAGCTGCTCCTGCCCGCGCTGCCCCGTGGCAGGCCAGGAAGGGGCCGCGACCCGCACGCTCAGCGTCCACCCCTTCTGAGCCCCTCGTGCTGGCAACAGAAATTGAGAGCTGAAACACTGGGCAGGCCCTGCCCTGTGTGTGGCCACCCGTCACCCTCGGTGGTCCCTCCACGGCCCTCCAGGGCCGCCGCACTTGCGCTCCAACCTGCTCAGATCCAGAAGACAGATGTCACTGCGCAGCGTCCTCGTGTCTAGCTGGGGCCAGAGCGCAGCAGCAGGTGCTTGCGAGGGCCGCCTGGGCCCCGGTGGCCTGGTAACAGCCACACGACCTGGGGCCTGCAGCACCCCAGCGCCGCTGACCAGGAGCGGTCACGGGGCCTCTCGCTCGGCACAGAGCCGCCGAGTGCAGGGTAGGGAAGGTGCTGCTGCCGCAGTGGGGGAGCCGGGTGCAGACTTGGGCCGCGCAACCGCGGCCAGCACAGGCTGGGTGCTGGGTCCAGCTCTCCCCCTCGGCCTTGGGCGCGCGACGCTCTCAGCAGCTGCTGACCGAAAACCGAGGCCCGGGCTGCCGGTCACTGGCCGCTGGTCACTGCCAGAGTCAGTCCGCGCAGCACCGCCTCACACACTCCTGTCCCAGCCAGTTACTCAGGCCGAGGAACACTTGGCTGAGAGCCGCAAACACGCTGCCCTCCGTGAGCTGAGGGAGCGACGCTGCCGGGCGCCAGCCGCAGGGCCCGAGCCGACAGCACATCGAACCTGATAGCGCCGGACTTTGCAGCTCTGCCAGAGTTCAGTCAATGTGGAGAGCTGGGATGACTGAGGGTCCCAGCGGCGTCCAGGAGAGGCAGCAAAGAGGGAGGGCGGGCCTGGCAAGACGGAGAGCTGGATAGGAGGACGGGCAGCGGGAGGAGGGCGGGGCAAGCCGCCCGTGCCGGCCACTGCGTCCCCGTCGTTGGCGCTGGAAGCCAGAGAGGCCGGCGTGCAGCTGCTGTAGG